AAACACATTTATAAACGTAGTGATTTGATTGAAGAGATAAAAGTGATTTTGCTTGTTTTTCTAAAGTAATCTCTCACTTTAATTTCTCAGTGTTTTACAACCTACCTGCGATTTATGTACAAAACAAACTTTTAAATACATTTGCAGAAAAATAACGACCGAGTAAGGCAATGAAATTTCCAGTTTGTAAGTTTTCCCCTGCCATCAATCAGTAAGAACACTTTTTTACGGTGTTATACATGAAGGATCGCACTGAATAAAGGTGTAGTAATACACACGAGAAAGAGGGAGAGAAAAAAAATAGTCGGGATGATTTAAGGTCTTCGTGTAAATATTGAACACGGTGTCTTACCGATGAATCGTCATCCATCAATCACCGGTCGCAGGCATTTTGCGTGCTTTCCATCCTTTTCTTTCGCCCGTAGAGAGAGATCATTAAGTTTCCATTAGGGGCGGTCGGCCTCCCTTTTCGGCTATCTCTCCAGGAGGCGGCAGGATTCCCCGACCACCCGAGGACAGCCCGGGTATTTGGGGCGTCGAGCCATTAAAAGCAATTACGCTCCGTTCTGCGCTCCCTTCCGGATTCGACCGCCCGTTCTGACATGAAAGGAAAAAAGTACATCGGGGGAGACAATCGGAAAGGAATTACTAGGGCGGTTTCGAAATTTTATTCGGGGATATTTTGAAAGAAGTCCTTTTCTTCCTGGAGGTCTTCCTTGGTTAAGTGATTCACTTCTCGTCCCATTACATCCCCAATGGGCCAATTCATGGCAATAAAATCCGGCAGTCTGACACGGGGCGCAAAATAATCGCCCCTTCTAGTCTACATTATTACTTCTCAGGGAGATTCCGCATAATAAACTTTTTCCACTGCCAAGGTGACAACAACGGACAAACCAAGTCTACAGCTTACAAGTAGACGACCGGGCTGGTGGGTCACGGATTTGGACCAAACCTTTTTTGTTGATTCTCCAAACATCGAACATGTATCCGCCACTTCTTGTGGACCAAACCAGAGTAGGGTTTCGCCAAAAACGTTTTTTGAATAAAATTTTCCGTTTTTAATATTATTATTTGGGTTTTTTGTACTTCCTCAAGTCAACTATATGAATATATCATTTTACAGCATTTTTTATATAGATTGCAATAAAAATACGGTAAAAGCTATCAACATTTATCAATAAACAAAAAATTTCTGAAGTCAAATATTTTTCAAGTAAAGTAGGTCATAAATTTTTTTGTATATGTAATATTACTGAACTGCACTAATCATTTATAACGAAGAAGAAGAAGAAGAAAAATAATTTTATTCTGGGACTGGTGTAACCCTAAGAATAATTTACATGAACTAAATAAAGGAAGTCCCTTCTATGAAGTTAAAAGTAAAAAAAAAAAAAAGATAGAAATTTTGGCACAATGTATAGCCAGTATGCCAGTAAGGCAGGACAGAAGAAAAAATTACGAGAATATTAAACAAAAATAATAAATGTTAACGTGAGGTCTCTGCTTCGAGGGAGAGGAGGTGATTATATAGGTGGGATTTAAAGGAGGAAAAGGAGGCAGCGTGACGAATAGAAAGGGGAAGGGAGTTCCAGAGTTTAGGGGCTCGGATCAGAAAGGATCTTTCGAAGGTATGGGTTGTATGTTGCGGAAGGATAAGATCGATGGGGATGAGCGGGTCTTACGAGTGAGATGTGAGGAGTTGAATTGGAGGGATTGGATGATGTAAGGAGGACGACGAGTGTGGATGGACTGGAAATTGGAGGCAATGGAATGGCGGGAAATTTGGGAAATGTGAGAATGCCAGGAAAGGGTTTGGTCAAAGACTACTCCTAAGTTTTTAACCGAAGAGCAGAAGGGGATGGGATGGTTATTTAGCATGACAGGTGGGATGCTGGGGAGGGAATTGAGGAGTTGCCTGGACCCGATAATTATGGCGGTGGATTTGGACGGATTGAGGACTAGGGATTTTTTATGGGCCCATTCGTTGATGCAGTTTAGGTCTTTTTGGATCTTGAGAGTGGCCGAGTGAAGATCGGAAGGGTGGAAGGATATATATATTTGGGAGTCATCGGCATATAGGTGATAGTTACAGGACTGGATGGAGTCGAATACGTTGTTATTAAGAAAGTAGGTGTATTTGAGGAATTACTTATTCTCACTTGTCAACAAAAACGCATTCGGTTTGTTAGCAAGAAAAGGCCACAAGTGATTTTGACGTTGACTAGTGCAGTTCAGTAACATTACGTAAATCCAACAGTAAAAATAAACATGCGGAATTGAGAAAATGGTCAAAACTTGGATTTGATATCATTGTTGTGATTCCAGCGTTATAAAACCCTTAGGTACCGACTTTCGCGGAAATCAGTGTAAATTAATTTTCTGACTGGTAATTTCGACGATCTTCTGCGAGACTGAGAATCCTAGTTCAAGCTCTAACTCTACCGATTTTCATGGCTGTTCGTTTTAAAGAAAAAATCAAGTACCAAACATTGAAATCGTACATAGAGGTGCTAAAACGAAATTTCACATTGGTTAGACAAAATAATTTTGTGATCTAGTTTACTTCAAAAATATTTGGTTTTTAGAAATTTTTCGGTTATTGATAAACTTTAGTTTTTATTATATTTTTATTGCACCTACATTAAAAATACTGTAAAATGGTGTATTCACATAGTTGATTTGAGCAAGTAGAATGGCGAAAAAAATATTAAAAACCAAAAAAATTCACCTTAAAAAATTTTTTGGGCGAAAACCGGTTCTATTTCCAAGAAGTGGCGGATACATGTCCGATATTTTGAAGTATAGAATCACCAAAAAAAGTTTGGACCAAATCCGCGACCGCCAACTTGGTCGTCTTCTTTTAAGTAAGATTAAAGATACAAAGAAATACGGCGCTATGCGATGTTAAACCCGCACGACCGATCTATCATGCAAGTTTTAATCTATTCAAGCGCCTTGTTAAAGGAGAAATGTACTTCGTTTTTTTTTTAAATTTTATTTACTGTTTTAGGTTATTTGACCAAATTCGCGCGTCGTACTCACATATTTGCTCAGCTTCATGGATAAACATTACATCGTGAATATTTTGGAAAGTGAATTCCTAAAAATCCAGTAGTAACTTAATTTTTTGTCCGATAATTTCGACTTTTTTGCCTGACATACCTAGTGCAAGCTCTAACACCAGTTTTCTCAAAAGGTAGTGGACTTATTTTCACAGTTGATAATTCGTTTTAAAGAAATTATAAAATCAATTTTATAACATTATCAAACATTAAAATCGGACAATTAATTCCATTTAAAAAACGAGGTTAATTTCAGATAAAAATATTCTTTTATTTTATGTATTTTCTTAGAGAAATATTTTATATGTTCTAATGGTACGTACTTCAGTAAAAAGATATGTTACTCTTCTTTCAAATGATATGTTTGACATTAAAATCCTTTTCGCCGTTTTTGAATTATAGCCGTACTAATCAGATATTCGGATAACGACTTCTTAAAAATCAGATAAATTGTAGGGGTCAAAAAATCAATTAAATTTAAATTCAAACAAAAATTTATATTTAAGGGTCTGTAGAGATGCTAAAACGAAATTTCTAATTTCACGAACATTTTTTCTGATCTAGTTTACTTGAAATATATTTGGTTTTTAGAAATTGTTCGGTTATTTATAATCTTTGATAGCTTTTACTATATTTTATTGCCATCGATATAAAAAGCACTGTAAAATGATATATTCACATAATTGAGCAAGCAGAACGTCGAAATAAAAAATATTCAAAACCAAAAAATTCACCTTACAAATTTTTTTGGGCGAAACCCGGTTCTATTTCCAAGAAGTGGCGGATACGTGTCCGATATTTTGGAATGTAGAATCACCAAAAAAAGTTTGGACCAAATCCGCGACCACCAACTTGGTCTTCTGCTTTTAAGTAAGATTAAAGATACATAGAAAAACGGCGCTCTGCGATGTTAAACCCGCACGACCGATCCATCATGCATGTTTTAATCTATTCAAGCGCCTTGTTATATGAGAAATTTGCACTTCGGTTTTTTTATTTTATTTATTATTTTAGGTTATGTGACCGATTGGATGGGTCAACGACTAAAACCTCATTGATACACGTACCTTTTTTTCGTATTTTTATACATTTTAATTTCGTCCATTAACTACTAAACAACCATAGTTAAAAATGGAAAAGCAACGACCAGGACGTAACGAAAAATGCGTTTATGTAATTGAACGACAAAACTACCTGAAGGTATTTGTCATAGAATTTGTGTTGAATCACAATTTTTTGCCCTTTGGTTTGATCCCTAGCCTGTACCACGACGTCTAGAACCGAAAGCACAACGGAGTTTCAATCGTGAATATATGACAGAGTAAGAGAAAGTTGACCAGATACAAACACATCTTCTTTACGATGTTAGTTACGAGAATGCCAGTTTACCCGAACGTTAGAGCTTTTCTCACACAATTTTACACATTTAATACCTGTCCAGTGGCCAGATTAAAGTTATTATGTTGACATCATTTTGAAAGGCGTCTGGTCCGAATATCAGCGGCCGTTAATTAGGTCACAAAAGTACTTGAAATTTTTTTTTCGAACAATTTTATTTACAAAATAATATATATTATACACTTTATGCGGTAGAATTTGACATGAAAAGGTCGTTGCGCTGGTATACGTGGTTAGTCTGACCTCAACTAATTCTCAGGGGATTTCAAGTAAATTTATTAATATTAGAGAAAATCATTAATTGGTATTAAATATGAAGAAACCAAATAGAATTGTAGAAAGAAAAACCTATGTACTTATTATTAAGTTTGTAATTGAAATAATAGATAATATCTTAATCATAATATTCTCAACTTTCTAAAGAATCAAAAATGTGGTTGTACTAATGATCTTTTAAACAAACAGTTATAAAGAAATAAATAAAATGACCAACCACAGGGGGAAAATTGTACAAAAATTTAATAAAACACAACTGACCTGTGTGCGTTCTTTGGTGGGCCTTCAAGTGTGAGCTCTTCGAATAGACTTTTTTACAGCCGGTATACTGACACTTATGGACTTTTTTCTTCGATTCGGATGTCTTGTCCGTAGACCTCTGCGTCCTGGGATGGTTGTGTTGTTGGCTGGTGGGAATGACCGTCCCTGTAGTCACGGGCTGACTGTTTTGTATCGTAACCGTCTCTCTAGGATGCCTCGTTGTCCCGGTGATTTTTTGCAACGAGCCTTGGCTTTCGGGGGACGAAGGCGGTGTGAGCGTGGGAAGAGGCTGGGTTTGGCTCTCTTCTAACAACAGCTCTTCTTCCTCTTCGTCGTCGTCGATCAGAGGTTCCTTTTTGACGACGACCTAAAAAGAAATATTATATAATACACGAAAGTTTCAAGACTGTAGATAAAAAACTTTACGATGTTTAATTTTTCGTTGACAAATTTAAGATTTCACTTACTTCACAGGACAAAGAGCCGCAGGAGACCCTCGAACAAGCGGATCCCGACGAACTCAAACTGAGGGAGTCCAAGGTTGGTTCGTCCAGAGGGTCGACTACTTCGACCTTCCAGGGGGGAGGCGCAGTGAATACGTGCCAGGGTGTGTCTAACTCCGTCGGCAGTTTTTTGTAACTCTGGAGCTTCGGCTCGTCTTTTAAGTATCTCTCCATTTCGTAGCATGTCTGTAAACAAATATTAAAACTTTAGATCAACATGACGCAATTGCCATCAAAATAGAATAGTACAACTAGTACAGTATCGATAGTAATAGTGCCTAATATTAATTACATATTAATGGAAATTTTAACCTACTCAGTTGATAAAGTTTGCATACAAGGCTACTAAACGCTTTTATTTGTTTTTCCAAGAAAATATCTAATTATTAAAATAAGCATAGCTTGGAGTGCTAAAAAATGCACTTTAAATAGAGCCAGATAAGTTTGAAAACTGTAGCCAAATAAATAAATAGGTATATTTATATTTCTTGGTTTTCGTTTTAGGAACTAGACAACCAAAAACTCATTTTCTTTGATGGTCGTCTAGTGCCTGAAAAACTCCAAGAAACATAAAAATCTACAACCGAAAAAGAAGAGTAAAAAATATACATATATTTATACATAAATTACACTACAAGAGTTACACTCTCGAGGGGTTAGATGTTTCACAAAAGCGTTTTAGTTTACGTCATCTTCAATGAGGAACTGTTTTTGTTGTATTTTATCGTCCGTGTAGGTCCTTTTATTCTACTGTGTTTGCAGCGTAGTCCGGGTGTTGGAGGGTGGTGAATGAATGTTGACGGGAGCTTTTGAGTATATTTTGTTATATTCTAGGTGTTTATGTTTTTAATTACTGTGTGAACGCGAGGGTTTAGTGAGTACAAGTCATTCGTCTTTTAGTGCCATTTGTTTGTAAATTTACAAGTTTTCTATTACTGGCGATGTTGATTAGCAATTCCCATTCAAGGGGTACTAAATTCAAAATTTACCTTTTTTAATTTCAAAATGTTCATGTTGGGTTTAGTTTGTTAGGGGAAATAGAGTATCTGCTGATTTTTAAGTTCACCAAACCACTCCAATGCTATGGCAAGGTTGGAAACCGGCAGAGAACGCATTCTTTGGACTGAAGGTCAAAATTTTTATCTAGGATTATCAGGAACAGAACGTTGATCAGTTAAAGAAGTTAAAATTACATTTTAGGATAAGGTTGTCATTTCTATTACACTAAGAAAAATCCATGATTTATACGGGTTTCATATTACTCAATCTGTTCATGATTCACTTTGAGTTAAACCAATGACGGTTGTGTCAATATTTGGCCTCTTATGACCCATTCTGGTGCTTGAGAAGATTAAATCACTGGCAGAAAAATTCGTTCAAACGATTGAACATACTTCAAAGGGTAACGGAGGATATGGTAATAGCAATTTAAGTTTGACCAAAATAACAATAATAAACGCCGAGTCCTGTTAATCAAGAAAATTAGTTATTTATTAATATAAAAAATACCTGATTCATTCTAATTTTTATAATTTATGCTGCATAGAAAATATACAATTGAAAGTATATTTTATGGCGCCCATTAAAAAGTTAGAAGAGGTTTTATGAATACAATTTACATTGCGGAACTGGATTCGGAAACTTTAGCTGTAAGCCATGTAAAATGTTATTGTTTTTTTTGCATAAACCCCCTCCTGAGAAAACCGCTATAATTGAGTTGTGCTTATCTCCTATTAAAAGTTGTCTTACCATGTGATTTAATCTGGATGAGGAATGTTTTTTTTTCATATTCGTTTCACTCACTCGCTCTCACTCTCTCTTTTCTTGTTAATTGTAAGATTGTAAATTTGCGAGATTTGCTAAATAAAATAATATTCCTTCTTTTAACTCACTCTTTCTATTTATCTTTCAAATTACAGCTTTGGTACACAGGCGTTTAAACAAAATAGATAACTGACCCAACAATATTTATTATTCATTGATTAAAAAGTACACGATAAGAATGAATTCACAAACCGTTTAGGTAATTATTTGTTGTTCTATTGTCAAACCAACACCGCTCTCGTGTGTGTTCTCATAAGAATAATTTAAACGGAAAATTTAGTTTTCGGCCGTCGCGTCAATTCAGTCTACACAGGCTTCAAGGCTGTTGTAAGATTAGATGGTAGTTCTTTACAGGTGTCGAGCCCGGGGTCGCGAACAGGAAAATGGGTTTGGGGGAGCCATGTCAGCTTTGTCGGTCGTAAAATAGGGAATCTATTGTCTAGTTACTGGCAGGCCTTACAATGTCAACGGGGACACGCGCGGCAGTACTCTACGACGAGTTATGGCCATTGGCAGTTTACACGTGACTTTTCTCTTAACACACACATGTTTAATAAGACGTTTTATTTGGCAAAAGGTTCGTGTGTAGCGTTGGATACGTTCGTAAACTAGTGAAGCATGAAATCATAAATCTAGATCCATAAATCCTCCAACGTTTTCACATCCGACTGGTCCGAAACAGAAAAATAATTTATAGAAAAGTTGAATAACTTTTACGCTAAATTGTCCATGGTAGCAAATAAACTATGTTCTCACAGTAAGATTGTTGTCACATTTATTTATTATTATTGTTTTTAATAAGCTACTACATGTTCATAATTTTTGAGATAATATACAAACCTTCTATAGATNAATAGCCGAGAGTCTGACGCCTTAACCACTCGGCTACCGCGGCCCCTCGATAAATATCATAGATTATTACTTTATGATTCCTTTTTTAAATAGTTTAACCTTTCCTTTTATTAATTTTGTTTGCTTGTAACTTAATAATCTATCTAATTTATTTAAACTTATATCTCGATACATGCTTGAAAATACATTTGTTACAGATATTTTATTTGTTAATTGAGTATATTTTTATATTGAGTATATTTTATATTGAACAGCCTCTTATGTAATTACGCTATAACATCGGCTGGCCTGTTTGGGCCGGTTGCAAAATAAAAAAGAAGAAAGTGTTATCCGTTTTATTGGGAGATGTCCAATTCTAGGGGGAATTAGAAGATTGATATTTGGCGAGAGAACACTTCCCCAGAAAAAATTATTGACCTCTTAAATGGAAAAAAATTGGAACATGCTAAGTGATTACTGTAAAAGTGCTTGGTTGTATAGGTACAAACTACGAGCTTGTACTTGAATTTACTTTGAATAAATTGTTAGGTATTGGACGTATATTTGGCTTGTGTTGTTTTGTGACATGCAAAAATTAGGTAATAAAATGATTTAGTTTAATTAAAGATGTGTTGAATGAAAGTAATATACTAGCTCTATAAGTGATAAATGATGTAATGCATTATACCATTTTATTTTATTTTTTTTTTTTTTTTTGCTGGGGCTTCCGACATCTAGGTCATTTCAGCCCCCACTAAGTCTATATTCTATACACGTTCATACAAATAAATACGTTTATACACTTAAATACATCCATACAGTACACTCATTCCGTTTGGTCGGTAGAGGAATAGAAAGTACTCCACCGACCTACACTTAAACTAAACTAGATTGGGGTCGATGGGGTACTTTTATAAATATTCCGCCATCGACCCCGAACTCACACTCACTCGCTTTTATCGTTCGAGGGGCGATGATGACGTTATATTTCACCCTCACCCCTCACCATTCACGCTAATAAATACATGCACTCAGACAAAACATATAGACACATAACACATAAGACTATATACAATAAAAAAAAAACCAATTTCCCCTAAAAAGCGGAACAGGGGACTCTGAAACTCGCTACCGTGCTCGAGGACTCTTCTTAAATCCGGCGGCATGCCTACACGCCTCTGTATAGAGCCAAGGCATGTCACGCCTCTATTATGTGGGACACATCGAGCAACTTTTCTCTGCATAAGGGGCACCTGCGCGGGCTTTGGCCCAAAAGCAGGTGCCCATGTGTCAACCGAGTATGGCCAATTTCTCAGCCGGGTGAGGACGATCCCTCGTCTCCTGCTCAGATTCTATGAGGGCCATCTACCGGTTGTGCTCTTGACTCGCAAGAGCCTCTCCGACGACCCCGCCCACTGACGCTGCCATCTTTCTTTTATCATATTTTTAACTGCGTGTTTAGCGTCAACGAGCCTGATCGCGATGGTCCGATCTGGAGGGTGGGACGTACTGGCTTTCGCCGCTTCGTCCGCGCGTTCGTTACCCTCCAGGCCGACGTGTCCGGGAATCCAGACAACAACCACCGTTTTTCCGAGAGGCTCCAGCTCCGCGTATTTCTCTAACAAGAGCACGACGAGAGGGTCCACAGAGAACCTGTCGCGCATAGCCCAGACAGCGCTCAGAGAGTCGGTACATACGAGGAAGGCTGAGCCCTCCCCGGTCTGCACCGCCTCGAAAGCGTTTTATTATTATTATTATGTTAAAAATAGCAACTCTCCTGACTTTCAAATGCCCTGGAGTATTGACTGTATGTAATTACTAAAAACATTGTACAATGAATTAAGGTTTTTTGTTGAGATAAAAAAGGCAGTGTCACGAGCGGGATTCGAACCCACGACCTTCGGCTAGATACGCCACTACTCTACCACTTGAGCTATCGTGACTTCGATCCACTCGGACACCAACTTCCCTTTTTAACCCCACCTTTTGAATTTTCCCTCCTTTTTGCCGTTCAAATGTCGTGTAATATATTTGATTCTCGGCGACAAATGAAATTGCCACGGAGAGCTGGACTGGAGCCATGGATCCCACAATGCACCTACTGCAAGAAACATGTAAACCTTTGAAATCGAAGATATTTTTGTCAGGAAACAGCTTTTAAGTATTTTCCCGTTGGATATTGTCTGAAACCAAAGTAGAGACGGACAACCTCTTCTTTGAATAATCGAATGAGGACGGTTCATTAGCGCCCGTCGTCCTCTTTCGCCTTCGACGGCATCTCACCCGCACTGACGAGCTACGTGATGAGCATCTGTACGGAAAACACCGCATCCGACCTAATGTGAATTCGTCCTGGGAAAATTCCCTGCGAACAAGGCCGAGGCTTGTTGGCCTGTTCCCAGTCCCGCCCTTTTACTACCTCATAATTCAATTAGCCAAATTTGTTATCTCAGGCTGTTTGCTTTGTTTAACCCTTTACTGGTATAAAGCTGACGTCGGAATGGGGTATCACGTTCCATTGAAGATAACGTCCGTACCCGACGGCCGACGATTCG